TTAATGTTTACTTGTCCTAAGTACAGTTAGCTCGCTTCCTGGGTCCTTCTTAAATATGCCTTTTTAAAGTAAGCACTCGAAAAATTTTATACTCACAAAATTATGTAGAATTTCAAAGTAAACTATTTTATACATTTCAAAAGATTTATAAGAATTTAAAGGAATGCTTGCCCACAGATATATTCAAAAACTGCTCGGCAATCAGATTGGTTTTTTATATACGCGCGGAAATTTTCTTTCATCGAACTCCCCCTCCCCCCAAAGCCAAATCCTGGCTACGCCACTGTAGGGAGTGGTAAATATTTTTCACATCTCTTTAAAACTCGGAGCTATGAATATAAAAATGATGCCGTCAATGCGCATAAACTCCTTTAAATATACATACATAATCCACAGGCAAATTTATGAGTTAGCCAAATATGTGAGGAGTTTATCCTGAAGAGAATGTAAATAACGCTAGCGCTCTGAGTTTTTGAAATTGGAGCGCTCTCAAATAATGTAACTCCTCACAGCGAGAGCGTATTTTAATGGCTTTACGAACTCTGTTTTAGGAAGGTCAGTGACTTTTACTTGTAAAAACTCACATATTCCATCGCTAGATCTAATTTTTAATTTTTTTTTGCCGAGCTTTGAGAATACATATAGTAGAAATGTAGGGGGTCCACCGAAACCAGTAAAATTCCCAAAGTTGGTCTACGAGAAAAAAAGTTTGGGAACCTCTGGTCTGGATACAAAACTACATTATCTACGATTCTATTTTTCGAGCAGATGGGCCAATTTTTTCTTCAGGGTACATACATACATAAATATGTACATATAGATTTTTGTAATAAGTTGATTACTCAAATCGATTTTGGGAGTTTCTGGACAGGAAATTCAGATTGGCGGTATTTATTTTACGACTCGCGCTTTTTCTATTCGAAAATCTTTCCACCCTTGTTACCAACAGCAATTACATAAATTTCAGAGTTCTATTATTACCAGGGAACGGATTTTTAGGACCTAAAAACCTATAAAAAAGGCAAAATAAAGTAACGAAATAGGCTGGAATAGGCAAAATAAAATAGCGAAAACGGCAGGAAAAGGCACTAGGTATTGCAAAAAAGGCAAAACAAAATAGCGAAAAAGGCAGGAAAAGGCAAAAAAAAGGTATTGCCAAAAAAGCAAAATAAGGCACTAAAAAAGACAGAAAATACGAAGAACAATCAAAAAATATATTTATTTTAGAAGTTTCTATATTACAAGNAGTAACATTGAACCACAAGATGCATTTTGAAGTTTTCTGGCAGCATTTTCATTCGATTTTCGCGAAGAAAAGCCTTGAATATACTAAATGTGCGCTCGACGTAAGTTGATACAAGTGGAGCCCAATTTAAATATGGAGCGTTTGAAACGTTCATATTATCAGGAATAAGGGCGTTTTCCTCGCCCTTTACAATTTTATACACACCCCTTATTGTCTTCAAGCCTACGTTAGCTGAGAAAACGGCTTTGAATTTTTCCAACACCAATTTGGCAAGAGGTCCCTGCGCTTCTATAAGCCGCATGGGCATGTGTATATTATTTAATCTTAAAAAAAAATTGTAAATGCTATAATCACTTTTTTAAAGGTAGAATATGCAGAAAAAGGCAAATATCTTAAAAAAGGCAAAAAAAGCAAATATCTTAAAAAAAGCAAAAAAAGGCAACATCAAATGTGTATACATGGAATCAGGGAAAGCTAAATCGTGGACATTTTTAATCGAATATACTCTACCTCTTTAGCAGAAAAAAAGGCAATTTCCATAAAATCCGTTCCCTGATTATTACTCTCGCTGTACTTTTACGTAGAAATAAAAAATCAACAAACATCTACATACATATGTGCTGTGCGCTGATTAAAGGTTGAGTCTTTACTTTAATACATCAACACTTCACAATAAAATGTAGATGTAATACATATGTAGAACCAAATGCCACAAAAACTCGCAAAGTAAGTCCCGTTCCAGACACGTCAAGTCTTGCTTTCAAGTCTGCTCGTTCTTTGGCGAACGATGTGAGAAGAGAGGGAAAGGGTACAGATACCTACGTACCGTGAAGTCGTTTCAGGTTTTTTTGTCTCTTTTGATATTTTCCTTGCTTCCGGTTTAAAAAACGAATGACTTGAATTCAATAATAGTTTACGCGTATAGAGCAATTAGATAACACAGAAGAGAATGTGACAATTGCTTGATGGCTTGAAGTATCTGGAAGGGGGCTAAAATGTGGAATTACTAGGGACAGGAATTTCGATTCGATATTAATACATTAGCTATAAAGTTAACCCTTGTATCGTATCCAAAGTGAAATAAACATTACAAAGTTAACGTGATTAATAACACGGTGTTACAAAAAAAAACTTTGCATGTACCTTTTATGTCATGTAGTTGGGGTGGTAGAACAGGTCTAAAGAATAATTTTGGCAGAACTTCAAATGCACTCCAAAATCTTAAGTTAAGATCAAAAAACTGGGAATCTGGATGTTGGGTCGGTCAAAACACCGGTCATAAATTGGACGGGTTATAGCCCGAACACAATGAAAACGACAAGCTACAAACCTTAGCTGTCAAATTATTTTAACACGTACTCTTATGTAGATAATTATTTTGGCGACGACCGGGCTACGCGACGGCTGTGGTTGTGGCCAGATTAGATCTATTTCTATTTTTCTGGCGACAGATAAGGTTCTTCCTCTTCTTTTATGTCAAACTCATACAAATTCATGATGTCGCTGCCGCGTTCAAAGAAATCATGTCGCCATCGACAAAGCGCTTAGATAATAAAGATGACAAATTGGAAGCTGTGGTCGGTAGCTCGTCGTTTTCAATGTGTTCTGAACTATATCATAATTTTATATTCATTGAAAAGCGGAAGGTTGTGTCTTTCCACTGCATCTATGAAATTTAAGTTAGGATGATAACCATTTGTTCCGTGAACAAAAAAGCTTAAGTAAATCCGAAAAACATTAGTTATGGTGACTTTCATGGTTACCCATAAATATTTTCAGTTTGCTGACCATAACTTAAGATTTTGGGAGTATATTTGAAATTCTGCTAATGCCAAAATGATTTTTTAGACTTGTTCTACCACCTCTAAAACCATTTCTTTTTTTGTAGCACCGTGTAATATATATATATTGTACACTAACAGGCAAGGGCGTAGCCATGATCTGATGTAAGGGGAGGACGGGAGAAACGAAATAAACTTGTTAATTTTTTTATATATTTTTTTATCATTTTTACGTTAATAACGATTTTCAGCAAACTTTTCTGCTTCTGAATCATCTCGCGGTTTTCGGTAACGAGTTTTCTATGGACACTCCGGAGGCATAGTCCAGAAAGACTTTGTGCTTCTGGGCCAGGTTTTTACTCTACGAAGTGTACTAAAACGATCGCTCCACAGTCGCTGTTGTGCATGGAAAAGCACTCAAAATGGAAATACCCTTATTTATCGCTGTTTTCTTCTTTAAATAAATCTACAACTTCAACATCCTTCAAATCTTCTTCAGGCAAGTTCTTTCTCTTCCATAAATTGTACCAAAGAAGGAGTTCACTTCCCATACCTAGATCATATATCTGTTGAAAATGCTTCTATTTATTTTGTACCTTTTCACTGGAAAATTTAATCGAATGCAATGGGTGCAATGTAGACAGCGAAACAGCTGGAGTATTTTAATTGGAAAAGCGAAGTTGAAAAGAAGCCGTTAGTGAATCCAGATACGGTATTATTATAGACCGTCGCCAGTACTCATTTTTATTGAAAGATGGGGATTACTTCAGTTTTTTTTGTTAACCTGCCAAACGTGGTAGAGAAATTTCTACTCCTAGATCGGCTGTAATCATACGAGATTTTTTAATTAACTCCGTAGTGACTCCCTCTGCATTCTTTCGATCATTCTTAACCACCTGCAAAATATTTTCAGTATGCTGATCATCGGCGATGAGGTCTATTGTGTTCATTTGAGAAATGTTTGCTGTAAGATCCAGACATTGAATATTTAGCAATTGTCATTAAAGCAATGATGAACATCGGCCTTATTATAGCAGCACACAATTGATGCGCAGACTTTCTTGTGGAAAAGTTTGCCTGAATTGACAACTTTTCTAAAGCTTCCACAACTTCAGGATAATTTTCTAAAAATTTCCTGATAGCCTTATATTTTTCCGACCATCTTGTTTCACACAAAGGTCATATATCAGCAGCATAATTCTTGCGTATCATTGATTCGCGAAAAAAGTGTATCACATATTTTAGGGTAGAAATAGTACTTCTTATTTTTGGAACCTCATTTAAGTCATTCACAACAAGATTTAACGGAAGAGGAAGTGTTTCCTCGTTTGGTTTTTCTATCCTGTTTATCACAGAATGGTAAAAGAAACTTAAAAGGGTGTTTCTTTCAATTCTGTGCCAATTCAATGCTTAACGCTGTGCTTACTTCATTATAACAACGATGAAAAACGCAGGCCTTATGTAGAAATTGAGAGTACAATTACGAATTCGATTACGCATACAAATTAGTATTTTTTTTTTATTGATTTTTGAAATTTTCTCCTTCGCTTTGTAGCTGCCCCTACCTGCCTACGCCCTTGCTAACAGGCCTATTCTGGTTGTCACCGAGCATTTTTATACCGGGAAATTTTGTTACCAAAATATGACACCACTTCTTATAACAACAATTCTAAGTACCTTTGGTAACGTTTTAATCTATTCAGCAATTCAGCTATGAATTTTTCGTAAATCCAGTGTTGCATATTTCACGGGTCAATGTTTTGTTACCTGCTTATGAGATAGTAACAAAATTTACCAGTGCGCAGTTTCGGTTCGGTTTCGACATTGTGTACCTGAGGATTACTGCGTACTACATCACGCACATTTTGAAAGTGGATCATTTTCTCGGAAAATTGTTGGATGTAAATACGACACATCATGATGTTTTTATAATTGTTGGCATCATTGCTACAAATTTTTAACAGTTTTCTTACTTGCTTCTCTTTGAGTAACCGTAGCCTTTGTAGTAAAGGTAGTCCAGCTCCAATAGGACTCGGTGTTTTATCGTGAGATGCTCTTTCTTTCATTTCCTCCTTGTCTTCCGACCGCACATGTGACATTCTCCTCAAAGTTGTTTTGTTCCCTTTGTTTGAAATTTCATGTAGCGGTTGCATTTCTAAAGATTCGTCACTTCTTCTGTTAGTCCTAGAAAAATCAATCAGTTGTACAAATATACGCACATATACATACATATGTATAAATCTACTAAATATATTGCTTATGTCTAAAGTTATAGGATATACGAGCCCCTCTATTGCATATTAACTAATAGATTGTGCTTTGTAGATACGCTGTATTCCATTACTCGAAAATTATAGTGAATAGGAAAAGAATTAATTTTTTCTTGGTAATGCAGCACTTAACATTTTCTAAATTAATACATATATTCTGCTCCCCAGAGGTGTATGGATGACTGTTTTGAAGTCAAATGTATGAAGAAAAAAATTTCAAAAATTAAGGTATGCGAATTCAAGTTGATATCAGTGTGCGACCATAATGTAATAAACAAAGTTAAATCAATAGTTGCGTTTTCTTACTCATTTCCAGTAAAAGTTTTTACGAGTTTTCATGTTTTGGCGTTTTCGTACGCAAAAACTTGCAAAGTAGGGGAAATTGAGAGAGCGAAAAATGACAGTTGAAGTTGCAAGTTTTTACTGGATTTTACTGGATAAATTTTTACTTGTAAGAATTTTCCAGTACGAAAAACAGCTGATCGCATGTTGCTGGATGAAATTTAAACTAATAAGGAAACTGTTTGTGGGTTTTTAATGTTGAATTTTACAAAATAAACCTATTTAAATACAAAATATATTGTTTTATTAGGAATTTGCTGCGAATAAACAACCAATTTATCAGCTGTTCATGAAACTTGCAAATTATTACTGGAAAAGCGTTCGCGTACTTTATTGCAAATTTTTTCCATGAGAGCGAATTCTTAGAAATACAGTTACTGGAGAGTTGCTGGCAAGTTACTGGATAATTTGTAACAACACACAACTAATATATGACGTACGCTTATTTGAAAATGTAAATGTGAAGAATTCATATATTTGATTACATTAACCGTCTTTTGGCTTTTGTTCATATATGACACGATGAGCTACATAATCGCAAAGTGTACAAAACACATACGCTATGGGTGTATGTATTTATACGAATGCATTATGGTTTAGTGAATTAAAATACGACTTCTTCACTTGCTAGGCCACTTCGTCCTTAAAGATAACAATTCCATAGCCCTTAAAGTACAGAATTATGCTGGTGTTGGCAGGAGAAGACCAAATGAAGTTTGACTTGACTTCACTTAGTATTTCTATTTTGCGCTAGTTAATATATATATTTTTTTTAATTCATATATTTTATTGCAATCTGCATTGTGCATTAAGAAATATTTAAAACTTATTACTAGATAAAAATAATCATGTATTGAGTACACCCAGTGGTGCAACCATATTTTTTTTCGCAGGTGTTCAATATTAGTAGAGATCTAATATTGACTTCCTTTTAAGTCGCTGTAATGATACTGTATGAGAAATTAGTGTAGAAATAAGAGGATTTGGGTGATCATGAATTTTTGTTGGTGCGCCAAGGCGTAGTTTTTATTTCAGAAGAACCAATAGGAATGACGGTCACGGTGTATTTGGTTGCTTGTGACATAAAACGGAGCGTTCGCAATCATTTTAAGATTTTTTAATAGGAAACTTGGATGGGTCTGCAGAGCCCCATAACTGTATTTCATATGTCCATACCGGCTTTAAAACAAATGAATAGAATAAGAGCTTATCCTAGAGTGAGACTTGAGATTTTGGGTTCAGTAACCAGTGATAGGAATAACAAAATGCCTGGCGCGACCTTAGGTGGTTACTGAGCCAATCAGGAAACAGAATGGTTGAATATATACGAAAATATTACGAAATAACGCACGAAGGTTGAGTTGATGGAACTGCATCAGTATTGAGTCGTCTTCGCTTGGCATATAATTTATTTCATTCGATTGAAGTGCAGGACGTAAACCCTGCATAGATAATGAAGTCAGTTGAATACCACACGCATTCATCGATTTCCTTCTCTCTGTAACATCCTCCGCACAATAAACGTAACTTTTTTCTTTTTACCGCGCTTTTATTTGTGGGTAGTGTCTGGCATTTTTTATGAAATTTTTTCTTTTTGCTCTGCATTTTCTAAAACGAATTATTTTTGGAATTGTAATACAAAAATTTTAAATTTGAAATACATTTATAATGTTGCTACTGGCAAATGGGTTAATGAAATGACAAAAGTGTTGTCAAATAAGCGTATCGAAAATAGATATGTCATATATTGATTTCACTTTGTTTATTATACTATGTGTGCGACAATTTTATGACACTTCGAACCAGCCCGGATTTTGCTAATATTTTCTGAAAGTATACATATCTATCTATACTATACAGGGTGTCCCAGAAGTAACGTGCCAAACTTTAGGGGAAGGTAGGTGTGGGGGTGGGGGG